TAACCCCCATATAGCATACATGAATCACCTCGTAGCAGATCTATACAGGTGGAGCTGGGGAAGGTGGAGGGTTTCTGAAGCAAGCTGCAACTGCTACTGCAAGCACGAATCATATATTTGAATGTTAAGCAGCGAGCTTATTGGCTACCGATACAGGAGAGAACCAATCAGCTGTGCCATGTGATGATGTCATTAGATCAGATTAAGTTAGACCTATCGGACTGCGCCATCTAGAGTTTCATGCCAGAACTCTCGGAGGGATCAGTGTGGTAATGTACATGACAATGTTAATGCATTTGGTCTTGGCAGAATAGATCTGCTACGGTAGAGCAAGTACAGAGACTTGCTGCTGCCAATACTTCCACAACATGCTGCTGTGAGCATGTAAGAAATATTGCTGCTGCACATATAACATACATGAAATAACCCTCATACATGAATCACCTCGTAGCAGATCTATACAGGTGGAGCTGGGGAAGGTGGAGGGTTTCTGAAGCAAGCTGCAACTGCTACAGCACGCACTAGTCATATATTTGAATGATGAGCAGCGAGCTCATTGGCTACCGATACAGGAGAGAACCAATCAGCTGAGCCATGTGATTATGATGTCATTACATCAGATTGAGTTAGACCTATCGGACTGCGCCATCTAGAGTTTCATGCCAGAACTATGTATTTATAAACACACACACGCATATATACCACATCATCTTGATTATGGGTTTTTTATGCAAGATTAAATTTAGATGTTGTATCTTGTGTAATATGATGATTATTAAAATATTAGGTATCCCAGTTGTTAATTTATTTCCTTCCTTCCTCCCTTCCAATCGAAATATTGAATAAGAAGCAGGTAATTAGGGGATTTTAAAACATTAATAAGAGCACATTTCTGTTGTGTAATAAATGTGATTATTTACCATTGATTTGGAACATTGATTAGACTTATTTACATTTATGTTTGAGGGCACACAAGAGAAAGCTCACACAGATAGGAAACAGTTCAGAGAGGTGGCTGAGTGTGAAATAAAGCAGAAATACGGCGAAATGCATTTCTGAGAGCGGACCTGCCTGTCTGACGTTATCAGAAGCTACGTCGGAGGGTGTGGCAGCAAAATGTAAAGGTTTCTCACGTTACATACCGTACCTTCTCAAATGAAAGCAGGTACTGTGCATCTATGCTGTTCTCTGATGCAGGGTAAACTGTTTTGTGTAGGTGTCCGTCTTTATGTTTAAACTCTGTATTCATAATGTTTTACTTTTATATATGGGCCAGTTCATATACTGTTAACAAATTACCCGACACACTGTTTGCAGATATTATCTGGTGTGTCATTTCCCATTTTACAGAAATACAAAGCAGTTCTTAGGCTTCTTATAACTATGAAAGAGACATTTAAGCACTGAGAGAGATTTATTTCTTTCACTGACCTAACTGAAAGTATTGACTAGATAACTGGCTAGTTGACAAATCATATAACATCCATTCTTCTTAAACATTAAGTTTGTATGTTATTTGTATTTCTGAATAAGTTAATGTACATTTTTGAACATTTAAAAAAATATATATTTAAAGTAACTTTTCCATGTAATCAAGTTCATAAAACTGCATGTATAATTATGCAAGAATGCTAACAAATATGTGCAGTGATAAGTAATGATGTTATTAATTACATGTGATGATAACGTAAAAATAAAAAGAGATTTAGCTATATTTAGAAGAACCGTATTGCTCAGAATCCAACTTAAGGTACTGAAACATGTTTTCATCAGGGTTTGGCCTTTCAGAAAACAACATAATACCAGTAACCCACAAAGGTTTTCAGGAAGCTGATTCTTATTTAGTACAGTCACAGTGTTTCTGTTTGGGGTTAAATTTAGGAAGTACATGCTATTGAAAAATACAACAAAATCAAACACAAATAGAAATTTGACCGAAGTGAACTGCTGCTGTACACCAATGAACATGTGAAAAATCATTGTATTTATTTAAGTAACATTAAAATTAATGATGAAAAATCTTCATGCATCAACCCGATCGTTATAATCTATTTGCACCATTAAGACAGAAAAGATAAGCATTAACTGTGTTTGCACAAACATTTGTATGCTTGTTAATAGTGTCCAACATTAATAAGCTACTAAACACCAGCATTTTATTTAGAAAGGTTTAATTCGCTGACTCATTTCAGAAAATGTTGTGTACATGCAGCACACCGTTTCTTGGTTGCACTTTTCTTTGTAGTTGTTAAGAGAGAAGACACTTTGAACCCAATGTCACTTACACAAGTTCCGAGTACACAAAGTTGACAAGCCCACCCAAATGGGCTGTGTTCCAATAAATTACAAAAAACAAAATAAAGGTCACAGTAAAAACTTTTACTGTTCATGAAAAAAAAAAAAACGTATGAACTTTTTATGGCACACGGTTCCTTGAAACTTGTATAAACTGTGGAAAAAAAGGTTTATTGTGTTCTTTCGGCCCATTCTGATTGTTGACTCAAGTGCTCTTTGAAATCTAAATTCTAGGAATGGAACTGATTGGCTGATGTCCATTCTATAAATTACATATCCTTTGGCCATCCATATTTTGCCCTCATGAAAAGCATGATGGTTCCAGTAAACATTACCTGCATGCCAACATTCTGATTGGTTAGATGAAGATGTGGGTGTGTTTACTAAATACCGCTGTATAGATAGTTGGAACAATCGTGATGGAGCAGGTTCACGTTCCCAAAGAAAACCTACATCAACAAAGCATTTCATGTTACTACTCACAACAAATTAATGGGGACACTAAACGAAAGTAGCAGATATTAGACAACGTGCAAATGCTGGTACTGCCGGTTCAAATCACTGCTTTTCACATGAAAACAACGTGGCACTCTTACAGTAATTCAGTATGAGAAAAATGAGAACATTATGGAAGTGTTCTCAGCACATTTCATGATGTCCATTATCTCACTAAGTTTTATGTGTTGTCATAATGAGCAATTTTTTCATTGATGTACAGTTTCTATTCAATTGTATATTATATATAAACATTTGTATATATAGTGCAATGCAAGCAGGTTTTATAGAGGAAAGTGTTAGTGAGCATTGTAAAAAAACTCCCTTGACTCCCTCAAAATTTGAGTCATTTTGATGCCATTTGAGACAAAGTTGGTGAGATATGGAAGGATTGCTCAAGTCTCTCATTTTAATGTAATTTTTGTCTTGGAAAAAACAGTTAATACATTAAAAAGTGTCTTTTCCTTTGCACACACTTCTGTGATGCAGCTGGATAAACTTTAAGCTTGCTTCAAAGTATGGAAAAATCACAGGTTCCTGACAAGTTTCCAGGCTTATCCAGCTAGCCAAGTCAGTCAAGTTTTTTTAGACTAGTAATAATAATCTGTAATCATTTAGTTTATGATGCTCATTTTGAATGAAGGATATCCTAAGTTAACACGTCTGAACTGTTGGAGGACAAACTCTCTATTTGACAGATGTGACGTGTTAAGAAACCAGTCTGTTGATATTTCTGAAGAAGACTTCAAGCGGACACAATACAAAGAACTGCCAGTCATGGTTTTGCAGCAATTTTGTTTGTGTACATCTAATAATGGGTGTGTGTGTGTAAGTAGGCTCAGTTAAGCTATAAAAGAAAACGCAACTAATTTTCCGATAGAAGAAGGTCTGTTCATCTACACTCCGTAGATGTGTTGGATCTGTGGATTGGTTGGATCATTTATGTGTACTCCACTGAAACTAAAACAGGAAAGGTTGATTTATTAAAGTCCTAGAAAGTCTACAATGTCCAAATATATCGAACGCATCAGGAACCTAATCCCGGGTCTGCGCCGTCCCAACAATGGCCCACCTCAAGGAGATGTTACCGTGGATATGGGGGAGGCTGATTTTGGGAAGGAGAAGGACATGAGAAAAATGTCATTCTTCAATCCACTCGATCCCGTGCCAAAATATGACTTTTATGCCAAAGACACTTGGGCAGGACGTATTAAAAAAACCAGACCATCACTGGATGTTCTACGCAAACCAGTAAGTAAAACTCCAGAAGTGGTAATTTAAAAGAAGTTGCATGCCTAAGTAAGCTTACAAGTGAGTCTAAGTGAATATTGCGCACAAAGATTGTTTATATGGCAACACGTTTGATTTTGATGTTGATTATCTGGATGTTCCTGTCAACAGCCGGAGCCTGATGATCTTCCTCCACCACCAGAGGAAGATGGACGGCCCAAAGTCAAGCTTGTTCGCTTTGGATGGGTTCTGGGAGTCATGGTGAGAAAGCAACAAGCATCAGTGTGATCTTATTAACATCTCTAGTTGTTTCTCCAAGTTGTTAAATGGTGAGCTAAGTCTGTGCTCAGATTTTCCAAGAAATCTGCCCGATGTCTTTCTCAGCGAACCCAAACACTACAAACTTACTGAGTGTACATGTATATTTCCAAAAATTGTCATTATCATAATGCATAAGAACGTTTTCTGTTTATTCTCAGATTATTCTCGTTTGATTCTTACTACAGTCATACAAATTTACTACAGTCATACAGTCAATTTTTTTTAAATACATTTAAATAAAAATTAAAATACATTTTTTGGGGGGGGCAGTACAATAAATACCTTTTTTTTTTTTTTTGATTGCTTTGGATAAAAGCATCTGCTAAATGACAGAATGTAAATACAATACAATTCTTGGTTTTACATATTAGTCATCAGTACAGTAACAAATACTGCAAAAAAATTGCTTAACAGGGATACATGTTTCTCACTTATCATTTAAATGTAGCTTTTATAAAAGCTAAATCAGTCACCTATGTGATTTGTTCAGGTCCACTGAGTTTTTATTTTGTTTCAGTTGTGGCGTGAAACCATTCTTAGTTGGCTATTATTATACATATCAGTATAGGTAACACCCCCAAATAAAAGTCTATCTGTCATAATTGTAATTTATTACAATCATATTTAAAGAAAACCATTATATCCTATGATCAAAGATTTCTTAGGTCTATAAATTAACTTGCATAAGGTTGAATCCCTGGCTTAATTTTCATGAAAATAATTGCAATAAAACAGGTGGTATAATTTCCTTTATGCAAAATGTAACGTTATATTTCTCTCTTTTAATGTGTTTAATGTTTCAGATTCGCGCTATGTTAAACATCTGGGGAGTCATTATGTACCTGCGGCTGCCGTGGATCACGTCTCAAGCCGGACTCAGTGAGTCAGTCCTCCACCTGGTTTAATTCAGTTCAAGTCACTTAATTAAGCCAATTAACAGTTAAATATTTCCTCTTTTTGAGAATTAAAAGTATAAAGGCCTAATCTAAAATAATTTGACATGCCATTTATGCATTTTTACTTGCAGTTCTGACATACGTCATTATCTTCATGTCTATCGTCGTCACAACAATCACGGCGACGTCGGTGTCCGCAATCTCCACCAACGGGAAGATCTACTCTGGTGAGAGAAATGAATTATTCACCATAAAAACAGGAACATATTTTAAGTAAATAAGACACATTTCACTTCATGTTGGGTTTTAATCTGAAACACATTTTTCAGTAAAATATCATAACATCAACAGCAACATAAGAACCTGGAACTAAACTTGCCCAAGAAATGCAATGTTTGTATTTGTCTTAAACACATTTAGTGAGGTGTATTATTTCAAAAAGCGAAGCCAATTTGTCAAGTAAAAACTCCACTGTGATCTTTCCTCCAGGTGGCACGTACTTCATGATCTCTCGGAGTCTGGGTCCTGAGCTCGGAGCGCCCATCGGTTTGCTCTTTGCGTTCGCCAACGCTATCGCCTGTGCGCTCCACACAGTGGGGTTTGCCGAGACCGTCCGAGATCTTCTCAAAGTGAGACATGCACACATTGTTGGGCTTGTGGGAAATTCAGAAAGCAGCTTTTTAGAAAAACACAGTTCTTAACTTCTTGACTGGAATTTGTGTTTTATGTAATTTGGCAACATGATGAGGGAGATGAAGAATGACTCCTCACTGTTGCTCAGATGTGTTATAAAGTTGAGTTGGTTGATTAAACAAGCATATGCAAAGTTCAGACTTTTTAATGCAACGTTTCTTAGAAGAACACAAAAGTATTGAAATACAGTTTTTCCTCTGATTTCATGTCCCTTTTGGGGCGCCAATATTTTTGGTCCATTTTCCCAGAAAGGAAAAACAAACATTAAAGGGGTCATGAACTGCCTTTGTTTTTTTGTTTTTATTTTGTACTGTTCTCTGAGGTCCACTTATAATGTTATCAAGGTTTTTACATTAAAAAAACATCATAATTTAGAAGTAATAGGCTATTTTCTGTCCTGTTTTAAACCCCCCTCATCAGAACGCTCTGTTTGAATAGGTGTGGTGGATTGTACACTCAGAAGTAAACTCCCACTGCTGTGATTGGCTAATAGTTGTGTATGTTTGGCAGCATACATTCCTCATAGATGGACGCTGCTGGGATTTAGGTTAAAAACGCATAAATAACTCCATGCATATCAAACGATCTGTAAGACACAAAGCAAAAGTGACCACATAATAAAAAAAAAAAAAGTTACTCACACTTGAGTGATTCCAATTTAGTCTGCACAGCATCGTCTTTTAGTTGCGAATTGGTGGGCGGGGCTAAACAGGCAGTGATGTAGAAGCAGGCATTGATCTTCTGCGAAGGCGATGCTTATCCACACTATTACATCATAGAGTAGAACATTCCGCATGCTGTCATTTTAGCAGACTGACTTCAATATAAGCTGATTTTAGACCAATGAGAAAGTTTTGAGTTCTGAAACTTACAGGATGTCTTTATAGTACAAATACATCTTATATGTCAAAAGATCAAGGGAATTTTGGTTTCTCAGTTCATGACCCCTTTAAATGTGGAAAAATAAAAGTAAATACAGGAAATACGCAAGTAAGTTATAGTAACTACGGTTGAGCTCCAAGTGAACAGACAACACAACTGTTTAAATCTCATCCACAATCGTTTTCTCTCTGGTCAGGACTATGATTCTCAGATGGTGGACGATGTCAATGATGTGAGGATCGTTGGGGCAATTACTGTCGTCATTCTCCTCTGCATCACATTCGCTGGCATGGCTTGGGAGGCGAAGGTATGTTCCTCTACTCCTGCTTTCGCAAATTTCCCAATATTGCTTCTTTTAACACAACTGTTCGCCTTGGTTTTCACTCCACCACAGGCTCAGATCCTGTTCTTCATCGCCATCATGCTGTCCTTAATTAATTATTTCGTGGGGACCGTCATTCCCACCAACAGAGAAAAGGAGTCTGTGGGATTTTTCGGCTACCGTGGTGAGTACACGAGATCCTGATCTTATAAGACTTTGAGTGCACATATGTATCATGATTTAGATATAGATTAGATACAGTATTTGTACTAGAAAAACAAGACAAAAATGCTGAGAGAGAAAATGAAGGTCTTCTTCAGTCAAGCATTTGGCGAAAGACCAGCAGAACCCACAGTTTTCTTTTTCCAGGTGACATTTTCGTGGAGAATCTGCTGCCTTCCTACCGAGGCCCAAATGGATATTTCTTCAGGTTGTTCGCCATCTTCTTCCCGGCTGCCACCGGAATTCTGTCTGGAGTCAACATCTGTGGAGATCTCAAGGTAATTTTATCTTTTTCGGATGGAGCGTGTAAAGAATGAAAGTCAAAGCGACTTTAAAACGCTAAATGACGTGGGCTATTCCATGTTATTTCAGGATCCAACGGGTGGGATTCCTAAAGGGACCCTGCTGGCCATACTCTGGACCACCTTGAGTTATTTATTGATCTCAGTCACGTGTGGTGAGATTAGACATTCTGTTGCACTGTATTGCATTAGAAACACTTAAAATGTGTCTTGTCTGGTGAAAGGCTCACCAAAGCAATTTCCTGTCTTCTCTCTCAGCTGCAACTGTTGTAAGAGACGCTTCTGGGAATGTGAACGATAGTTTAGCCCTGACAAATTTCACAACCCACTGCACCGGCCTGGGCTGTAAATTAGGCTGGAATTTTGACCGGTGTGAACAGAACCGCACATGTAGACATGGACTGGCAAACAACCTCCGGGTGAGTGCATCGGCCCTGTTGATAAATCAATAAAACAGCGGGTTCTATTTGTTTCCATTGTGTATCATCAGTTTCACTGAGGACATCGGAATGCATTGTAAAGTAATGCATTTTAATTTTGCAAGTAATATATTGTCATGTTATTTTAGTATCACTTACATATTATAGTTTTTATTCATATTTTAAATGAGTTTTTTTTTTTTGTAATTATTTCCCATTTTTTTATTTTAATTGTACTTATAGTTTTGGTAATGTTGCTTTTTTTGTCCCTTTTAATGCTATTTTTATTCATTATTTCAGTTTTAGTTATTTTACTACAAGTCAAACTAACTAAATTTGGAAAAAAGCTAACTTTTTTCTACTTTAGTTATTGTTATTTCAAGTAACAATTATTACAAGTAGCAATTTTAATGTTTTTTTTATTTTGAAATTTGACAAATATATACACAAGTACACACACACACACACACACACATATACACATACATAGGCATATATATATATATATATATATATGCATGCATTTAGAAATCATGTCTAAGCAATTATCAAAATAATATATAATTAAATAATGGAAGAAGGATGATTTCTGTTTTTCCTCCAGATTCTTACCACTGTTTCAGGATGGGGCATTTTGATCACCATTGGGGTCTTTGCTGCCACCTTGTCATCAGCGCTGGGTTTCCTGGTGTCTGCTCCCAAAATTTTCCAGGTAGGCATTTCAGAGGTTTTTTGATTATATTGTTGTTTATCCAACATGCAGTGAAACACAATATAATATTGTGTTTTTTTGTCACAGTGTTTGTGTAAGGATAACATCTACCCCTACATCGGCTTCTTTGGAAAAGGTTACGGGAAAAACAACGAGCCTCTGCGAGGCTACAGTCTCATGTTTTGCATCGCTATGGCTTTCATCCTCATCGGTGAGTCCTGGATCTCCTCCAGATCAGTTACTGAAGTGTCTCTCTCTGCGGACGCTTTAACGTTTGGTGTCATGTTGATGTTTTCAGGTGACCTGAACACAATCGCTCCTCTGATCTCCAACTTCTTCCTCTGCTCGTATGGCCTCATCAACTTCAGCACCTTCCATGCGTCGGTCACCCAATCACCTGGTGATTATCATCATCATCATCCTCATCAGTTTTACATTGTGCTAATGATAGATATCTAAAGATAGTGCTTGCATAATTATTAGGCAAATCGATATTCTGATCATAATTATGCACATCTGAATATAAGGCATTTATATAAAATGAATAGTAGTTATTCAGATTGATGTTGTTTGGAATTGTTAAAATGTGCTTGGAAAAAAACAATGATAAAATATCGACCTGCCTAAGAATTATGCATGCACTGTAATTTGATTAGTAATAAATGGATGCAAATGAAGAGCTACAAGTCGTTTTCATTGAGGGATTGACAATAGGGTATAAAATAGGCTTTAGTCTTAGTTTTAATCTTTTATGTCACTGCTTCTTCAAACTTAATCTATGGACACTGTAAAGGGTTACACTTTATTTTAAGGTGTCCTTGTTACAGTGTAATTATACATTTAAGTACTCAATAATAATTAACTACATGTACTGTACTTACTATAGGGTTAGGTTTAGGATTACTTGCATACAATGATGCATACTTTATTGTTATTATAATAGTAAGTATATAACATGTATAACAAGGACACCTTAAAATAAAGTGTTACACAAAAAAAAAAAAACACAATTAAAATGTCTATCTATGAGGTTCTTCAAGCTCATGTTTCTGTAATGGGGACATGAAATAAGCTTGCTGTACTGTAATTTATGCACGCTTATTATTAATAAATGCAATGTATGATGTCCAAAGAAGGATAGAAAAGAAAACAATCAGTTGTTGAAGGGGTGAATTAAAATAAGAAACAGTCGTTTTTCTCTTGCAGGTTGGAGGCCAGAGTATCATTACTATTCTCCATGGACGTCTCTGTTTGGGTCTTTCTTGTCATTCATCCTCATGTTCCTGTTCACATGGTGGGCCGCTCTCGTCACTTTCTTTATCGTCCTCTTCCTCCTTGGCTACGTTACTTATACAAAACCTAGTGAGTGTCATGCTTTACCAGTTAAGCAACAGAACCCCAAATCTAGCTTTCTTCTTGTCATCTTGTTCTTCTCACAGAGTCTTTGCTCTTCTCTTCTTCAATGGTCTTTCTAGGCTTCAGGTCTCGGTAAACTGAAGCCCAACACTCTGGTTTTGGGATACAAGATGAACTGGCAGGAATGTAAACCAGAGAGCTTACAGGACTACATCAACACCATCAGGTGAGCTGCTGCTTTTGTTCACATAAATCCGAATGAGCTTGATTGTCAGGTGTCTTTACACACACAAGGAATTTGTCTTGGTGTCAGGAGCTTCCAGTGCAGAAAGTATAGACATACATACAGTATCATTTAAGGTAATAAAAAGACAGAAATATAGCTCTAATAATAAAGAGAATAGACAATAAATTAACACAATAATAGCTGTATGGTAATAAAAATATAGAGAAAATAGACAGAATTAGGAACGTGAATGTGCAAATGTGCTTTTTTAGAAATGAAAAGTTTTGAGAAGTTATGTACAAAATATAGAGAAAATGCCTAGTTCTTTCATGAAACTCTAGATGGCGCAGGCTGATGTGTCTTAATGTGACTGATGATATTCACAGCGTTAAACAACTTGGCAGAAGCTGATTGGTTCATGTTGCATATGCAGCCAATGGGCTTGCTGCTTTACATTTAAATAGCGGATTAGCATCCACTTGAGCATTTTGCAGTGCGCTTTCAGAGTTCCTCCGAAACCCTCCACCTTGCCCCGCTCCACCTGTATAGAGCTGCTACGGGTTATTTTTTATGCTATTTGTGCAGCAGCAGTATGTCTTAAATGCTCACAGCACCTTATCGCCGTATGCATTGGAAGTAGCAAGTTCCTGTACTTGCTTGCAGCAGCAACTACAGCAAAAACCAACAGCAGCAGCAATTCAGCAGCAGCGTAGCAGATCTATTCCGCCAAGACCAAATACATTAACATTGTCATATCCATTTGCATGCTAAAATCTTCTGAGAGTTGTCATGATAGAAACAGAATTGTGAATGTGCAAATGTGCTACTTATAGGTGAACAGTTTTGAGAAGTTATGCATGTATGTAGTCGTGAGATGTTCTGTATTATTCAGGTGGAATGAGGGAAAAGGGAGGAAAAAAAGCCGTTCTGTTGGGTGCACTTTTTTCTTTGTATTTTGATCTTGTGTAATGTTTCTCCTACAGCAATGCATTCGACTCCAGTTACGGCATCGCGATCCTGAGAATGATGGACGGATTGGACGTAACAGATAATGTGCACAGTGCAGGTGTGTGTTTTATACCGTATGCCTAGAAAATGGACTGACGCTATAGTTCGAGTCATTAAATCAAGTCTGATGTGGGTTTGTTTTGGTTGAAGGTAGATCATCTGCAATTGACAATCCGGCATTCGACGCAGAGGAAGTCCAATACGAAAAGGATGAGACCGACCGGAATTCAGGTGAAACATGCACCTGAAGTCTTATTTATTGTGCACTTTTACTCCATTGACACTATTAGTGAAGTGATGTGACATAATATAATGTTACAGTGATTTTAGGATACCAAATTAAAAACCCTGGATGGAAATGCCAACAGCAAATAGCTTTATGTGTCACACTTGAAACAGGAATGCAATATTCTAAAATAATTGGAAGAATAAAAAAGCATTTGAATATTTAATCAATCAGAATGCTTTTATTATAACCAGCAAAGCTGCACATGGGGTACACAGATTGTTTTTCCATTCGAGCTTAATTTGGTGCCATTTGACCTCGGACCTTACAAAACCTTTTTGATTCCCCATCCAGATATTTCTGACGATGGCTCGAATGAGCAGGTCAGATCGGTGTTTCAGACGAAACAGGGCAGGAAGAGCATCGACATCTACTGGATCTCTGATGATGGAGGTGAGAATTATACTTAAACACCCTGCGGAAGCACCTTAATGGTTCTTAATGGTCTGGGTTGGTTTTGATATTTCTAAAAAATAACCACATTTATTTTCTCACTGTGAAGCATCATTGCTCTCTTTCAGGTCTGACTCTTTTAGTGCCATATTTGTTGACCAGAAGAAACCGCTGGAAAAAGTGCAAACTTAGAGTGTTTATCTTAGGAGACCAGGAGACCATAAAGGAAGACCGTAAAGAGTGAGTTGATCATCATCACCATCATTTTTGTAACTACATTTTTTAGTTTTGTTATGCAGACAAGTCGACATGTTTCTCATTTCAGCATGAAGATGCTGTTAAAGAGATTTCGGCTGGAGATCGAGGACCTTGTCATAATAACAGACGTGGATAAAACTCCTCTAGCGAAAAAGTAAGAAATGGGCACAAACATGCTCATGAACACGCATACAAAAACATACATGTTTATAGTAACTGTTGTGCTTTTCTTCCTCTCTGTTGCTGTAGTTTGCAGCGGTACGAGGAAACCATCGCCCCCTTCAGGCTGAGTGAAGAACAGGCTGGAGGAGACATACAGGAGCTCAAGAGACTGAGTCCATGGAAAATATCCAACAAAGACCTGGAGGCCATACAACCAAAGGTGTGTGTGTTTGCTAGTGTGTGGGGTTTTGAACACAAATACGATGCATCAGTTAAATATAATTACCCTGTATTCATGCTCAGATCGAGAGGACGCTGCGACTAAACGAGATCATCAAGAAGAACTCCATCCACGCGGCTCTGGTTGCAATGTGAGTATCGATACTTAGGCTAGTTTACTTGAAAGTGACTTCAAATGAGTGACATCACAAACAACTGATCATAATTTAACATTTTCAGGCCTTTGAGACCCTGCTTAACCAATACGAGTACTTTGGTCACCCAAAGAGCTGGATGGCCATCTTTACCAACTAATTAGCACCTGATACTACACTGTAAAAAAAATTCCGTAACATTTACGGTAAAAAAAAACAGCAGCTGTGGTTGCCGGAATTTTACCGTTAAAAATAATGTAGCAACGTTTTAGGTTTTAACTTAAATTTACAGTTAAATACCGTAACCCTAATATACAAAACTGATAAGAAAAAACTAAGAAACAGTTATTTCAACAAAAAAAACATCAAATTTGAAATGTAATGCAGGGAATTCTGGGAACGTCAGTTTACGGTTATTCACTGTAAATTATACGGTATTTTTCAATTCCAAAAAATAATATACTACCGGAAAATTAATGTCCAATACATGTAATGTCCAATACAGTTTTTCACCGTATATAGTAGGGGAATTTACTGTTAACCATTTAACAGGTTTTTACTGTAGCATTTTTACAGTCTTTTACCGTTAAATTCACGGTCATTTTATACAGTGTAGCTCTGAACAAAAAAACAGGAAATGAATAAACTAAACCAGAAAAGCAGCAAAGACAAAAGAAAACATACAAAAAGTTGGAAATAAATAGGTTTTGTTAAAGTACAGTTTTAATAAAAAACAAACTACGATATTTTAAAGTTTGCACTTTTTTACTTCTTGTGAAGCCCTTTGTGCTAAATTGCTGAAAGGAGCTATAACAAACTTTATTATTATTATTATTATTATTATTATTATTATTATTATTATTATTATTATTATTATTATTATTATTATTATTATTATTATTATTATTATTATTATTATTATTATTATTATTATTATTATTATTATTATTATTATTATTATTATTATTATTATTATTATTATTATTATTATTATTATTATTATTCAAGTATTTAAGCAGAAGCCTTTAGATCAAAAGGGCCTCGAGATCATAACAAATTCAGTCAAGTGTGTCCAAACATTTGAATGGTAGTTAATGTGTGTGTGTGTGTGCTTCAGTTCTCTTCCAGTCCCTGATGTCACCTGTCCTAGTTCTCTCTATATGTCCTGGATGGACGCTCTGAGCTACGGCATCCACTGTCCCGTCCTGCTCATACGAGGAAACCAGGAGAACGTCATGACCTTCTACTGTCAGTAAAACACTCACATTAATGTGACTGTTCATCCTTAAACACATTTATTACTGCCTATTACTTGCAATGTAAAGATGCTGAATCTGTTGTACTGAAATGAGCTGTTTAATCCTTTTGAACATTGACTGTATTACTACGTACATATGTATATTTATTTCACATGCTTGTATCTTTGAGGATGATGCAGGTCAAACAGATTCGGTAGAAAGGATAGAATAGAGATACAGTAGAAACGCAGTAGAGTTTGGCTGGTGGAGGGAAGTGCTTTTTCTGCTCTCGGGATCTTCATTTCAGGGTAGAAGTTTCTTGCAGTTTGAGTGAAAAATTGTGTTATGTGTAAGATTATTAGGTTATTGTTATGAATTGCAAGTATGCTTTTTATCTGCTTATGAATGTGAAAAATAAAAATTAGCACCACATCTCTAAAGACTTCATATATATGAATTTTGCTTCTCAGTGGCCTCAAAAGTGTTTAGGAAAATAAGGAAAGGTAAGGACATGACATGTGGTCAAGTATGGTGTCCCATACTTGGAATTTGAATAATTAACAGCTGAGTTTACCCTCACATTATTATTCTTACATTTCGATCAAATATTTTTAAGACTCCAATATTATCAGAGTGAACTTTGTGTATGAATGACATATGTACCAGCATTCTCGTAAAACAAACATACATACATCTTTCTTTGCTTGAATCCAATACAAAGAAATAAAAAAAAAAAGTTTCATGTGATTTTTGGCAAGTGGTGGCGGTTCACGGTCCATCATTGCGACCAGGGCCAGATTTTTGCATGTAGGCATTCTAGGCCTGTGTCTATGCTCACACTTCCAGGGGGCCCAATTACAAGAAGAAGAAATAAATTACTGTTTATTCTATGGGTTGCCTGCAATAGCAAAAGAATCAAAACCCAAAAAGACATTTACCAAGCAAATAGATACAACAAATATTAGGATGGCTAACTATTGAATAACTATTGCCATGTTTTTCCAATGAAATTAAGTTTTAATATCTACAAATCACTTTTTTCTCCCGTTATTTCATACACAAACGCACATACATACAGTACAGACTCACAGTCTTGCGCACTCGGATCAAACAGATGCACAGTAACTTGTCAGTGCTGCCCCAGGACTTTATCAGTACTTTTGCAACTGAAATGCATGACATTTCTCGGTATGGAGGTGGTAACATTGCTATTTTTGAAGAAGTTAAACTTGCATATTCGCTATTGGTAGCGATAGAGAACACGGTAATAGTTTTCATATGCATTATGATCAAGTTTTGTTTTGGGTGGTATTAGTAGCTATATATTAATAGGGAAGGGGGGCCCAGAAAATTATTTTGTCTATGTCACAATAAGAGGTAAATCCGGCCCTGATCACAACGATAACGAAAGAGGAAACGCTTTAATCCAAGCCCTCACGAGAAATGCTAGCGTGAATTCCTATTGAAATGTGTGTGAAGACATCTCAGTGTATTTTGCCATGTTGAAATGACGTGACCCACGATATTTCACTGAACGTCAACGATTTCTTCTATGCAATAGCGCTCACCGCACGCTCTTATAAACAAACCAACGGTTTCATAAGAGAACCAGATTCAAATGAGGGAAGACACGATTAGAGTTAATACAACTTCAGTTACAGTCTTTTCTTAGCATAAAACTATTGATTTAAGTCAGAAGACATGGAAGAATGCATCACATGGACTACTTTTCTGGTACTTTAAGTTTTTTTTTTTTTTTTTTTTTTAATTTTTTAAGCTTCACAGTTAAAATCACCATCCTCTCATCCTTATATTTCACAGATAAAAGCGTCAGATAGGTTTGGACAGACATGACAGTGAGTAAATAAGATTTTTGCCCAACTATTCCTTTCACATTGCTCCTGCAAAGCAGGTTAGTTTATTCATTTTTGCAAAGATCCATATCAGTAGTTAAAATATTTTGTATTGTATTTATTTGCAACACAAATTATACAGAAAATAACAATGTCAGCCTACTTACAAAGTTAAAACGGTTACAATTTCTGATTTGCCAATAGAAATTTAGCTGATGCATCTTTCTAATATCAGATTAACAGTTCTCTTTTTTTCTTCCAAATCCAAAAGGCTTGTTCACACTGCAGTGTCCTGAACTCATTTATTTTCAAAAAGAAATGCCCGTCTGTTCATAATGTTATTCACTTCTGCGGTTTGTGTACAAAAATGCCCCTCCTGAATGTTATTTTTATTAAAAAAAATATATAATAATAATAATAATAATAATAATAATAATAATAAAAAATGAATACATG